AACCTCCTCTAGGGGGGTCCGTGGGCATGCTCCCCCGGGAAGATATTTTTTTAAATATTGAAGTTAAAAGCATCAATCTGGTGCACTTTGAGAGCAACATGAGGAGATCTATGGGTACATCTTTCAACACCCATTTGAAACAGAACTGTAAGCAGATTTTTCTTTTTGGATATTTTACAAATCACTCCCCTTTTAAACTCAATTCTTGTTATTTTTAACAACTTTTTTGTTACTGTCATATAGTATTTTATACCTGTTTTTCATTTAGTCTCTAATGTCTCATTAATACTTATAATCAGGGCTCTCAAGTTTTGAACAGAGTTCAGAGTGAGATTTTGGTGTTTGGTACTCCAACTTCTGGCTCCCCTCAGAGTTCCTTCCCATGAAGCCCTCTGTACCGCGAATGTCATCAACGGGGGGGGGGGCTGCTAGTGGAGTATGAAGCCCTCTGTAACGCGAATGTCAACGGGGGGGGGTGCTAGTGGAGTGCACGCGTCTCAAACAAGCCTAGTTTGTTTACAAAATTGCGGCGCAACATGGTGGGCGGTACCCTGGAAAGAAATCTCTGCGTGAGAAATACAAGGTGTGGCGTGTGAGAGTGTGAATGGAGTGAAATGCGTGTGTCTCACGCCAAATGGGTGAGACTTGAGAGCTCTGTTATAATTATCATATCAAGGTGTGCCTTAACCTCACTGAGCTGAGGTTATTTGAGCCTCTCAGGAGAGAGCTCTCTTCCACCTGGTTGTAGAAAAGCTCTTTAAATTCGTTAGCATAGCTAGCTAACCAGATGCTAGTAACAGATATCCACTGTGCTTACAACTAAAGACACAGCCTAGCAAACACTGCGGCATGTGTACGGCTCCTTATGGGAACTGCAATATTTGAAGAGCTGGAGCGGCGTTCCGTTGCACTCCGTCAGCACACTCCTTTCAGACGAGACATAACCGCGTGAAGACACGTCACGTGTTGTGTTCAAGGAACCTGTCCTTGGCCAGGAAAAAACAGGCACTCGCTTGTTTAATTATTTTGCGATCTAGATTTCTTCTTCCTTTTTTAACTGACGGACTAACGGACGGACTGACGAATTGACGGACCCCCCCCCCCCAAAACGAAAACTCTTCGGTTCTCCACGAATTACACAAGTCACCCAAAGCAGCGTTAAAAAAGCGGGAGGCGCCGAAAAGCGACTAATTTGCATCACTGAAGACTGTTATAAAAAAAAAGAGCCAGTCCCCAGATATGTATTTTATGTAAAATAACTAATTTTCTCTGTTTTCATCATGAAAAAAACCAGCGGTTTCATGTATTCAAAATGGCATTTAAAGGGTTAAAATCCTGAAAATGATTACATTATTGGTATTTTCTATTAGGGCGGAAGTTGCTTTAAAGAATTGAACCCAAAAAAGTTGTGAAAAAAACTTTTAATATAATGTTTTTAGTCTTTTGCAGTGGACATTTCTGTCTCGAATGGTCAATAAGCGTAGTCGATTTGTTACACAGTGAATTAAAGACCGATTTGAAAATTGAAATTCCAAAATAGATCGAGAAAATAGCCTTGTTACAAAAAATCAGGCCATTGGCACCAACACAACCAAAGTTATTGCAAAGTGAAAAGTGAAAAATGACCCATATGGACAAAAACGTCCACAGTGAAACCGGAGAGTTAAAAGCTTTTTTTAGCCAGTTCTGTTCTCACGTTAGGAACCAGCATCTGAATAAAATCTTGGGAGCGCATGCCATATAGACTTTGTTTTTTACACATAGGCAAATATAAGAGAGAAACCAGGTTTAAAACAGCTTTATTGCATTTGTTATTAAGTAAGAACATAGTTAGAGCAGTCTGCACTGATTCATAGGATAACTTAAGTAACCTTTACAGTTTTCCACAGCTGCTTCACATCTCCTTCAGTGTAGGGATTTGTCCCTGTAGTGCTCTGCAGGCAGCAGGACACATAATGATGAATCTGCAGCCTCTGATTTGTCAGAAGTCTCAGGCCACAGCGCTGTGTGATGAGACACAGTCCGTGCGGCTGACTACTTGGCACAAGTCATTACACTTGTATGATTAAAATATGGCAATGTCAAGCTTACTTCCAAATAATGAAGTAATTAAATAATGTTCAAAAATGCCATATCTCCTCTGAAATCATTTCAGTAATTCCTGTGTGTAAGAGGGTGAGAGAAAGAGCGTGTGTGTCTTACGTTTATAGTTGATTCTGGTGATGGTGTCTCTGTTGAGCATGCGGTTGAGGAAGGCGTTGGGGATTTCAGAGAGCTAAGAGATGACGAAGGGAGAGGGCCATCAAATGTTCATCACAGACTACAGTGCAGCACACACACATGCAAAAATGCAGCTAAACACATGTAGCAAGTTAACTTTTTTGTTTACTGTGCTGCAATTCTTGTATAAGTGTTATAATAAATAATACATTATTTATCCTCAATTGCGAGAATATGTATGAATCAAACCATCCAATTAACTCTTACAAATGTATTGTGTTTCAATGTACTCCCAGAAGTCCACACTGACCTTTATGAAGATGGAGACCACAGCGATACCATGGGGGCTCTTAGCTGCCTCTGTGTAGTTGGCATACAGATCCTGGTTATAATGGATCAGCTGGACCTGAAACATAGATACAATGAAAGAAAGCATTACAAGCCCGATTTAAGTTAGTTACTCTAACCCTAACTCTTAGCCTAAATCTGAAGCAGGACTGCAACTAATTCCCATTTTCCAGTCCGACTTCGGTTTGGATTTAACTATAAATGCTATTAATTTCAAAGCAAAAATAATTTTGTCCACGATGACATCCCAAAGCTTCAAGATGAGCTGTGTAAGCCAAAGAAATGAACGGATAACATGACAACAGGTCATATTACATCCTTGATAATAAGAAATGTAATTACAATCCATGTAAAGCTAGTTTTAAAACCTTCTACTAAGAAGCTTTATTAAACGCCAGCTAAATACACATATTTTTAGATTAGCTTTTTATTAGCACCCCCCCCGGACACACACACTTTAAATGTTGTTTTAGTCTTTATTATTTACCTACTTTTATATTGTTTTATTTATTGTATGGTCTTTAAAGGGTTTTCTCTTATATTATTTATATTATAACAGCTTCAATAGCAACATTTATTTTTAAGTTGGATTTTTTATATTTTAATCGTTTAACCTTTATTACAATGATGACGTTTTTATTAGTATAATCCTTTTATTTTTATTTATTTTTTTATACCTATATGTTCACTTTATTTAATAGGGTTTTATATTGTTGCATCTATTCTATTCACTTGTCTTGTGTCTTATCTTTCCGAGAGAAATTATTATTTATTTTATTGTATTTTGTTTTTATTATCATACCTTTTACCTCCTTGTGTCTCTTAAGCTGTTAAAATGTTATATTTTGCTGCATGTATCTATAAAGGTCTTAACATCTGATCCGAGGGGAATTTCTTGTTGTTTATTATTTTTAACTTGTGATGTGTCACCATTTTGTAAAGCACTTTGAGCTGCACGAACTGTATGAAAAGTGCTATATAAATAAAGCTTTATTATTATTATTATTATTATTACTATTATTAAGCTTAAATGCAATTAACAGAAGTAAAAAGCATGAAGATCTTCCTATCAGAGCGTGTTTGGATGAGAATAGGAAGCCTTGACTCATCCCATTGTGTGAACCACTGTGTGTGTGACTCAAAGGATGGTTGCCGCAGTGACACCTGGTGTATGAGCTCTCTGACACACTGACACTAGTGACATTCATTACCCTGTGTGTGAGCTGAAGGTTGCTACTTCTTTCACATGCGCGTGAATGGTAAATACCCCACTGGTTGCACGAGTAGATACGAATGTCTTTCAGTCTTGACCTGGCTTGGGGGGTACGGGAATTAGGATAAAAATAAAAAAACGGTATCCCCCTACAGTTACATTAAAAAACAATCGGATTACTGGTACAGGGAATTACTAGCATGTTCGACAGGATAAGTTCTGCATACTAAAACAACTTTTATGACTTTAAAAGAGTAAATGCGCTCAGCAGGATTAAAAAGCTAACATTATAACTACAAACAGACTATATAACAGTCACTTGACATCACGTCACCACTGCTGAGATATCGGCGGCTAATGTGTCTAATGTGTCGGCGTGATGACGTTTAGTAGTCTCATTTAGTCACTGCCCTTTTATGAAACATAGAATCTTCAGACATTCAACGATGGGGTGTGTACTGACCTTTACGGATTTACTATATTTTATTTCGTAGATAAAAATCGTATTTCTGGAATCCAACCCATTAAAAAGAAACGTTAACTTCAATATAAGTGAACAGGAAGTGCTAAATGTGAACCACGTTTCTGGACTCATTCCTGCACAACCTTTGTGAAAATTGTTTGAAGCTCCAATGTTCCGAGTCGAATCCCTAGACACCAAACTTTATGTGTAGTCCCCCAACATGGAAATGAAATCAACCCCCTTATTTTGTCTATACATACATATGCCTTATTTTTTCTACCATTGGAGTCCCTTCCCCTCTAGCCTCCCTTCCACGTGTGTGTATCAGTGTAAATGTGTAACCTATCAATATTTTCTTTCTTACCTCTCCTGGAAAACCCTGTCCGTTGAGAAGATGCTCTGAACCCTGGGAGTCCTCACTCCCAAAATGGAGGCGGACCTCCTCCAGCCTGTAGCTGTAACCCAGTGGGCCCCCGGAGATGTTCACCAGGTGGGCTTTGTCTGGCCGTAATGACACATGCTTCCCAGTGTTGTACATGGTTCCTCCCATCTACAAGTAAATCAGACAAAAGGGAGGGGTGAGCCTCAATGATATTATGGTTGTTATTGACAAATACTCTAATACCCCAGCAACTTATGACATGTGTCTTATATTTAGTGTCTGGTCTGACTTCATGGTAATAAAGCCAAGGTATTGTATCAAAGCGCAAACATAGTGAACCAGGCGTATAAGCAAATGTTAATGGTGGCCAAACAGTGGTACTAACACTTATTTGTCAGTATGTGAAGTCATTGGGCCAAAAAAGACTTTCCCATTGACATGCTTTATGGGCCCCATCAATGTGGAAGTCCTCTCTGAATGATGAAGTATTCCTTAATGGAAAACATGATATCAAGTGGTGACAATAGGTTTTACTTCGTTCCTTCAGTATACATCTTTGGTTGTCCCCTGACTTATCTTCTCTTGCCATCATCCGGTCAAAATCTTATTATCTTAGTTTGATGACTTAAAATCTGAAAAACCTATACTTGTTCAACCATCCGAAACAAATAAGATAAAGACGGTTAAATATTACCCAATAAACATCAGCGTGATTTTCGTTGTGAGCATGCTAATTTTAGCATTTGGATCCTAAAAGAGCTGCTAGCATGGCAAAGTCTTGTTTACAACCATAATTAATGTCATAGTCAGAAAAAACTTCATGTCATGACTCAAGAAATGTCAGTCAAAGTTTCCTTTTTATTACAACAGCACTGGAGGTACACTGTGACAAGATTTTGGTGAATTACCATGTGGATGTTGCTTTATGACACTATCCCCCTAAGTATTGTAATGAGCCCCCTTTTCTATTTTTAACATGGGTAATCCCATTGCCTCGAGCCTTAGCAGTATCATGGCCCACTTATAGAAATATATCAGCTTATGTCGAAAAGCATGAATAACAGCGTTTTTTAACCTCTTTTTTCATACTTCCTAGTATGTCAGTGAGCCGAAGGTCTCAGCCTAATAATACAGCTATGCTTTACTGCGGGATATCAGTTATTTTATGCTAAGTTATAAAAAGCAGCATGAGAAAGAGGTAATGTATATTACAGGTAGGACAGAAGAACTGCAGAGTGCTGTCTAGGTTGGTAGTGCTTTTGCGTGTTTGTTAATGTACTGTAGGCCATACAATATGTTTCATTATTCAGTCTGATTAATATGTTATGTGCCTGTTAACCCAAGTAGAGTATTCTATGTCTTATGTATGCTATTTCATCTATCACACAGTCATTAAGCCAACCAGCAAATGAAACAAACAAAGGAGAAGAAATCTGGTCACAGCACATTCGACTAGATTTAATGTAAAGTACAAATCAATCATTCAGAATCTGGGAGAATAGGAAGCCTCAGGGAATTAAAAGCCTGGGAATTCACCCAAGTTATAGTATTCTCAGGTAGCAGGAAGTGACAAATAAAACCTTGATAATGCCATTTATGTTCTGCTTAACACAGAAAGTTCGAACCTGAGTTACTCCAAGTTTGCCGTAGTAAGAGACAGATTTGCATTTGTTGACTAATATTCTACAAAAGCTAGTTTACCATTTAGATTAAGATTAAAACTAAATCTAAATCAGGAACCATAATTACCACTGCATCCTTTCTTTACTACATTGGCATATTAGTGTTTTTATAAACCAAATCCGACAGTGCAACAACAAATGCAGCACTAAATATAATTAATTATAGTAGGTTTCTGTCTTCATTAAATCACAGTACCAAAGTAATGCATAATTGCACAGGTGCCGAAGTACCTATTTGTAATATATTTGAATTTCTGATTATATCTGGAGATAAATAACCCTTTCCTGCTTATGAAACCCACATTAATTCATCCTTAAATCAGATCAAGGATTGAAAACACTATTTTAGGAGACTACATATGGTACTGCAGATTTTCTCTAGTGGAGTGAATGTATCTGCAGAGCAATGACTTGTTTATGCCTCTTCTTCTATTGCCCTTTCCCTTTGCCTTGCTTTGACGTACAGAACGTATTCCTCTATATTTACAGCATATGACAAATAAAGTAATTCTCTATGTGTGAATTAAAACAGCTCTTCTTGTTGCTCACACAGTATGGCCACAGAATGTTTGTCAGCTCCTCACAACGCCCCTGGCAACGCATAAACCATTTATGCTGTTTACCCGCATGCCAACCATATTCATCATGCATATTATATGACACGCGCTGCATTCACATATTCATTACAGCTGTTTGTTTATAATAAATGAGGAGAAAGCACCAAGCCTCGGTTTAATTGTGGTTTGCCACTGCTGGGGTAGTATGAAATTAAATCATTACTCGACAGACTGGAATCTATTCACGGCATAATCCTAGCACAATATTATTTTAAAAGAGGCTGAGGATTTAGAGTCTAAAAATGACTGAATGGATTTCGCTTTTCTACGTCACCTTCTATGTTAAAATAAAGAATTTTCATCTGGACGGTGACCTGCTTACAGAATGAGGCAGCTGCTACAGGAATACACTTCCTGCTGATGTAGGAAACTACTTGCATCTGTCAGCTGATTTCAAGAACTTCCTGGAGCCTACTGTATATATGGATCCAAATGTATTTAGTTTTGGGCACTACAAAGGCTTAGTCCCTAAAGCATGTAAAACGGCTAAATCTGGTGATAAATTGTATCTATTAATCCATGCAGAAAAACATGTTTTAAATCTGCATATTGTTGCCTTTTCCCAATAGCAAGTAATCAGGCGAGTGCAAAAATTTGAAAGTCTGTCAATCTAAAATGGAGTTGGCTAATGTAGCTTATTAGCCGTGTGCCCCCATTTACTTGTATTAAACCTCTGCTATAAAGTATAGCTGCTCAACAAGAAACTAAACTAAAAAAACAATCACAAGAACAGAAGCTGGTGGAGTATTTATCCCATTACAGAGAAAAAAAAGAAACAATTGTGATTATCTTTTTGATAACAAAAGCATGTCCCAGCTAGCCTGTGAGCAGCTAGCTTTTTAGCAGTTAACTAGCCAGCTACAACAGTTCAACATCTAGCTGGTGGTGGAGGAACTATTCGCATCCTTTAAGCCCGCGTCACACTGTCCTGAAATGGACACCAGATGGACACACGATAAAGGAAATGTTCGAATTCGGCTCTGATCGTAACAACATCGGGCCATTCGTGAGGGCATCTTAAGCCATCGTATGACTGCCGGTGGAGTTTCTCAGGCTCCGGCAGCAACTTCGTGAGCGGCGGCAAAATCTTTGGCATGCCAAAAAATTGCCGAAAGACCTTGCGAAGGTTAATTTTCGTGTTGAATTTGTGTGTCCATTTTGCCCTTCGTAAAGCCATCGTGAGGGCATCAAATCGTGTCATCTTCGTCTTTACTTCGTGTGATAATCGGGCCTTTTTCGCCTCACGAAGACGATACGAAGGAAACAAGAAGCTGCCCGATTGTCTTAGGAAGGCAACACGACTATGTGAAGCCCTCGCAATGCTGTCGTGTAGCCATCGTATTATAGTACGATGACATCGAGATGGGACCACGGTGTCGGCAAAGACAGCCGAATTTGAGTAGCTCAAGTATTTCCCATGTGTCATGGTAACGTGACGCCTTCGTGACCTAGTTCGAACGCATCGTACTCTCAATTATTTTTGCTCTGCTACTTTGTGGTGTAAATTTAAAATAAAAAATGTGTTTCTGTATAAAAGCTGTTCATCCGTAAATCTACACTACATTATGACAGGGTTGGACCACTTGTGAATTTGTTGTATGCCATTGGTGAAAATCAAAAATGTATAATGATAATTTGAGCAAGTTCTCTCATAAATCTGGTACAAAATGCCTTGTGAGCACACATTTAATTGAGGTTTTCTCGCAAAAGGAGAAATAGCAAGAAACCCTCAAAACGTCCAAATCTTAGGATATGCGGAAAATAATTCAGCCTTCACAGCAAGCAGCTTCACCTGGGACAAATCAGTGACAGCTGAATATAAAACCTATTTTCTGTATGAATTTTTCTTTTAAACTCATCTCTAAAACATAGGTATGAGCTGGAGTGGATGAGCAGCTGCAGCTACAGATGAGCAGCACATGAGCGAAAGTCTCCAAGGATCTCCACGTATTTTTACAAAACTGCTTGATATGACGGGGTTGTTTCACGGCAGGTGGGCTTTAGCGATTGCATGTGGGAGCTCCCTGCAATGGGTTGCGGAAAAAAAAATCAAACATACTCCAAGTAATTGAGTACAAACAGGTTAAAGTTGTTTGATGTGTGGTCTTAGAAAACCAAACCAGCGTGAGGGAAATCTTCAAAGCCGTCTTCTGTTTCTGCCAAGCGTTTGATGAAATCTGAAGTATGGAGACAGACGCTGAGGGACCAGAGGGTCGATATGGAGAAGTTCTACTGCCTTGTGCAATAGGCTTTGGCAAAACTGTGTTTTAATTATTTTTTTAAGATTATTTTTTGGAGCACCAAGGCCTTTATTGGAGAGACGGAGCTGAAAGGGGAATGGCGCGTATAGGGTTAGAGTTAGCTACACACCGGCCCGACAATACTGTGTTTTAGTATGGTCATGCCAATGATTGCTCTTTTAAGATAATGGAGAACACAATCATGAAACAGTAGAAAATTCAGCGGGAAATATTTGACCCAAATTAAGAAAAATAGACGAACAGTCGGTGAAATAAGGAATTGCAAAATTGAAAGGAGAGTGAAAATGGGAAAGGAAGACGAGGAATGACAGGACAAAAAAAGCTAGAATGGAGTTGGGATTAATAATGTCAAAGATGGAAGTGAAGTAAAGGAGAGAAGTGATGGCTTACTGGGCAAGGCGATGGATCTAATGAGGAGTTGGCTCAAACGCTGCTGCCAGAGTGAAAGGAGGAATGCTTTTCATATGGGACGGCTTTCAGTTTCACTCCCACTTCTTCGCGGACATCCATGGGGAGGAAGTGCTCAGGGGCCTCATTTACAAAGGGATATACGTTCAAAAAATGGAGTACGCCAGTTTCTACGCAATGTTTGCGATTTATAAAATACT